GCACACAATGACAATATGAGTCCCAGGATTGCATTTTCTCAAGGTGTTGTTGTTGGTGTTCTTTGGAGGGATGTCTATACAAGCCGGTCCCTCCTCCTCCTAGCCATGCGGCAAGAGGGACTACATTTGCCATGTTTTAACATACTAACACCTAATTTTTTCTTAATACAAAAGCAAAAAGGGGCTGTGGCCTCACAAAGCTGGGATCTGAGAAGAAGCACCTTTTTGTCTTGCTAATGATTTAAATTTTATCTCCTAGACCAGGGGTAGGCAACCTAAGGCCTGGGTGCCAGATGCGGCCCCCTAAAGCCTTTGGACCGGCCCCAGGCCGGTCCTGCCACCGCTGCCGTCCCCCACCGCCTGCCATTATGATATTGATTTTTGTTGTTATTGTTCTTGGAGTTTCCTTGCTATGTTTTGCTATGGCTTTTCTGGGGCTGAGAGAATGGCATGCATATATTTTTTAATTTTTAATTTTTTAAAAATTTATTTATTTGTTTATTTGTTTATTTTTGGTGCTTCGGCCCCCCAATTGTCTGAGGGACAGCAACCCGGCCCCCGGCTCAAAAAAGGTTGCCTACCTCTGTCCTAGACTTTGTTCCCAGAGCCACATGGCCAGGAGGAGGAGAGACCTACTTGCAAAGATTTTCCTCCAAAAGATATCACCTTGAAAAAATGCAAGCCTATGACTAACATCATCATTTTATTTTAAAAAAAATCTAATTTGTGGATTTTGGATATTATTATATTGTTCTTGATAAAGCTGATAGCAATAATTTTATTGTTTTTGCTGTACTATTTATTCCTTTTGGATGTTGTTTTTAATTTTATGTTTGAGTTTTCTCTTGGATCCATTGGATCTGTTGAAAGAAAATTTTAAAAAATTAAAAAATTAGGCGGTCCTCTAGCTACTGCTACATGTAATCCCTTAATTTTTCAAACATCCTGATGGGCTTTGGAAATACAAATGTCTTGGAAGTCTGTAGAAAATTACTTGTGTATCCTCTATTTTGATTGGACATTTTGAGGAGGAATGTTCCTGATATTCATTACCCCAAGACACTAAAGTTAAAAAAAGAAATCCTTGTAATAAAATATTGCAAGGGAGTATTTGCTTTTTTTGTTTGTTTGTTTGTCTGACTGTTTGTTTGTTTTGGAGTCCCAACTAAGTGGCACTCATAACTCCCATTACACCTGGTGGGCCTTTGCAGATCTCCATGGCTGGTATTTATTTTAGACTGTCCCATATCTATCACAAAGGCATATTTGTTGTGTGTATGTGTGTTGTATGCCTTCAAGTTGTTTCCAACTCATGGGGTTTTCTTGGCAAGAGTTCTTCAGAGGAGGTTTGCCATTGCCTTTCCCTGAAGCTGAGAGAGTGTGGAGATCATCACATCAGGTTTAAAAGCGGCTTACCTGAGCCAGCTTAAAATTAGAACTGGGCTGCATCCTGATACTATCACACACATTTAGCTGCCGAAATCGCCATCAGGCTGGAGCCCAGCTCCATCGCTGCTCCAAGTGGCGCTCCTCACACCTCTTTTCAAAGCCGGGAGTTTTCTGGCTTGAAAAAATGGCTTCCTGAGCGCCCCTCCAAGCGGCGATGGAGCCGGGCTGCAGCCGGGTGGCGATTTAGGTGGCTAAATGTGTGTGACAGTATCAGGATGCCGCCCAGTTTTAATTTTAAGCTGGCTTTAGTAAGCCGCTTTTAAACCTGATGCGATAATCTCTTGTGGCTTGCCCAGGATCACCGAGTGGGTTTCATGGCCAAGCTGGAAACTGAACCATGATCTCCGGAGTTGCAGTCCAACACTCAAACCACTAAGCCACAGGAGCCTTTTGCTGTATAAAACTTACATGTGCTCTTCACTTTTAACTTCTTTGGTCAATTTATAGCTACTGAGCCTAGTTAGAAGGAGAACCTAACCCTAAGTCTGACCAGCGATTCCCAAATTCTGGTCTTCCAGGTGTTTTGGACTTCAGCTTCCAGATTCCAAGACTATTGGCCAAGATGGCAGAGGCTTCTGGGAACTGTAGTCCAAAAACCAAACCAGAGAAGGCTAGAGTTTGGGAATTTATTTGGGAGAGACTGAAGTGCTCCCTTGCTTCTCCTCCAGGGCAGGCAAGCAGGGAGGTACGCTCTGGGATGGAAGCTTCCATCGCAGGGCTAGGCAACCTTTCCCCTTTAAGGGCCGAGGGACTTCAGCTCCCAGAAGCCTCAGCCATGTTGGCCAATAGTCCCATGTTGGCCAATAGCTCCTGGGATTCTGGGAGCTGAAGTCCCTCGGCCCTTAAAGGGGAAAGGTTGCCTACCCCTGCATCAGAGGGTGCATATATACTGTACAAATAATGCAGTTTGACACCGCTTTAATTGTTGCGGCTCCATCCTACACAATCTTGGGGTTTGTAGTTTTGTGATGCACCAGGACTTTTTGGCAGAAAAGGCTGTAAAACTGCAAATCCCAGGATTGCATAGCTTGATGCTACAGCACCTAAGAGAGCCAGTGTGGCATTGTAGTTTGAGTGTTGGACTATGACTCTGGAGACCAGGGTTCGAATCCCAGCTCCACCATGAAACCCACTGGGTGACCTTGGGCAAGTCACACTCTCTCAGCCACAGAGGAGAGCCATGGCAAAGCTCCTCTTAACAAATCTTGCCAAGAAAACCCTGTGATAAATTCACCTTAGGGTCACCATAAGTCGGAAACAACTTGAAGGCACACAACAACAGTGGAAGTTAATGGCCAGCAAATAGGTCCAGTTTTTTGCATTTAACCACACCTACATAGTATTCTCTCCTTCCTTTATTACTATTTATTAATAAAAAATATTTGTAACCCTGTACTGTATATACAGAAAACGTATGGCAGAGTATAGTATAGATAATAAAAGCAACGTAACACTTATAAAACCGTTTTAAAGAACAATTATAAAACAATGTAAACAATTTAAACCAAGGGTTCAATTCCCAGCTCCCCCATGAAACCCACCGGGTGAATCACACTCTCTCAGCCTCAGGGGAAGGTAATGGCAAACCTCCTCTGAACAAATCTTGCCAAGAAATTCCCATGACAGGTTATTATTGTATTTATTTATATCCCGCCTCCTTTTTGATACAGGGACTCAAGGTGCCTAGGTGCAGCTCAGGGTAGCCATAAGTTGGAAACGACTTGAAGCCACACAACAACAAACAAGAACAAGGGTACTTAAAAGTCGTGTCAAACTGAATTACAGTATTTCTACAGTGTAGAAGGACGCACCCAATGCTGGGAATATGTTACTTTGAGGGACTACAACTCCCAGAATCCCCCAGCCAGGTGGCAACTCTGGCAAGAGAATTCTGGCCATTGTCTGAGGTGAATCAACATATACAGAGGCACAAGCGAGGGCTTCCTCGTTGGCCCCGCCCCCTTGTCAGAATCAACCGCCGATTATCAACCGCTCGACGTCACACAGGCACACACAATGGGCGCGCGCCTCCCTCCGAAGCCCCGCGCGCCACTTTGGGCGGGCGCGAGCCGCTCTCAAAGAGCTCTCGGTCGCTGGGCCGCGGGAGAGCGGCGTTGCCAGGCAACGCGAAGCTTTCGAGCGGGAGGGGAGGGGTGCCTCTCGGTCAGTTTCGTGCGGGCGGGCGCAGTTCGCGATGGGAGCCGGCGGTGAATTTAGTGAGTCGGGCGGGCTTATTCATCCTCTTCCTTCTCTCTCTCTCTCTCTCTCTCTCTCTCTTTCTTTCTTTTCCACAGCCCTGGGTCCAAAACACACACTGCAGAAATAATCCAGATTAAACCTGTTTTAATTACCCTGGCTCAATGCAAGGGAATTCTGGGAATTGTAGTGTTTATGAGATATTTAGCTTTCTCTCTCAGAGAGCTCTGGTGCCACAATAAACTACAACTCCCAGGATTCCCTAGCACTGAGCCAGGGCAGTTAAGGCAGTATCAAACTGGATTGTGTCAGACATTTTTTTTTCCTCTTTAAATTATCTCTCTCAAATCAACCCTGTCAACATTTGGAGACTACTTATAAGTAGACTAGAGGAAATTTGGGGGAGACTTTAGGGGCCATTCAGACGTTTTTGTTTTTAGTGCGACTATCCAAATAATCTCACTCATGCGTTCAGGTTTTGTTGTTCACACTACACTCGTTTCTCCACATTCGCTGGGGTTAAGGGCGCAGCACCCCCATGAATGTGGAAAAACCTCAAATAACAAAAACACTATGTTTTTACCTGAGAAAACACCTCTCTAGGAATCTCTAGGTCCTCCAGTGCAACTCTATGGTCAACATCTGCCAGACATTGATCACAGAATTGCGCTGGAGGAGCTACAAATAAATGCCTAGTGGAGTGTTCTCTCTAGGAATCTCTAGATGTCCTTCAGAGTGACTTTTGGTTAAAGTTGACCATAGAGTTGCACTGGAGGACCAAGATATTCCTAGAGAGAACATATTAATAAAATCTGTGAATAATCAAATCCTCAAATGTGGAGAGACGAGTGTATTTTTTAAGTGGAACTGCAACTCTGAGTCCTGTTGCTCACGTGTGTCAGCACTTGAATAAAGATAGAGTCAATGATGGGGATGTATTCGAAACATGTTCAAGGCACGCAAAGGTTTATCCCATTTTATCCCAGATCTATTTGCATTGATTATTCACACAGCCATCTGGGTGTGAATCTTTTAGGAAAACTCTGGAAAAACCCCAAGATCGATTATTTTGGGTTAAGTGGATTTTTTGGTGCCCTTCCCAAAACAAAACTTACTTGAGTGCCTTTGAAATGCACATGAACAACAAAGATTCAACCTACATTCTACTGGGATTATTTTCACCATCTGAATAACCCCTTAAACAGTGTGAACTTCATCAGTTTCTGTACTGTATTGACTCATGGAGGTAAGTAGGTAATATTTAAATATGGGATTTCCTCTTAAAAGAACTTTAAAAGATAGGTGTTTGGCCCTTTTTGCCCAAAACACACACACACAAACAACAAATAAAGCCTGACTAACTGTGGCTCCCACACTTTCTTAATCTTGGACACAATTTTTTGCAGAAAGGAAGAAATGAAGCTGACTAGTGAACCTCTGCCACAAGAACGCAGCAGTGAGACTCTTTTCCAAACCATTTCAAAGCTTCAGGATAGTGAATTGGAAGGACTGAAATGGCTGAATAACCCAGGTAAACTAAATAAGTAATACCCAGGTTTACACACTCTTCTTTCCTTGTTCTATGGATGAAAGATGAGACAAATGCACAGTGCTTGGCTTAAGCTGTAAACCTTAGGAGTAGTTGTGTTTATGTTTGTAGAACAAACAAGAGGGAACAAGGTTGGCCATGGAAATGGGAAACGCGCACAAGTTTTTAATTCCTTATGATGCCCTGAATGGATCTGCACACTGGCATGTTCGATTGTGTGTGTATGTGGTTCCATATATGGCTGGGCTTCCCAGCATATCACTCATGGGAATAAAATGCCCATGGATTCAGACACTTCCTTAGTGCCCTGGCTTGCCAAACTTTTTTTAAAAAATATTTTAAATCTTGGGAGTTGCAAAGTGAAGTCTTTGACTTGCAGCCACACACAATCTTTATTCCCTTTGCCAAGACTTCCCCAGACACAGTCTTGAGAAATGTGCAGCTCACTGGCTAAACTGTCAGCTGAAGCTTGTCGCCCACCCCAACCAAAAAGACAGGAGCAGGAAAGGGGACCCTCTTGCTACCTCCTTGTTTGGTAAGTAGGATGTCAGGGAAAGCTATGGGACAACCTCCAGAGTTGGGCAAGCAGAGCTGCAGAGTGTATTCCAGCAATCTTCCAATGGTGGATCATTTTCATAGGATGAAAAATGTTTGCCTGCTTAAACGAGTTGATCTGCAGCCTGCAGCTTGGCTAAATGCTTGCCAAGGGGCTGGGATGATATCTTGTTGAGGATCTAATTGAGTCACTTTTTCAAGTAGCAGATGCTGCTTTTAAGGAAGCAATGCACAGCACCCAACACACTTTGCCAAGAGGGGGATGAATTCTTTAACAAGTGGTTAAATGAGGTGATCTACAATGTGACCCTTCCCATTTTTTTGACAAAGGATTTTGCCAATGGAATGCCCACATTCTTTTCAGAATCCTTTTAGGTGTACAAAATCTATTGCATTTGTATAATGGGTGCTCCCTTATTTTGGACCCCTTGGAGCAAGCACTGTTTTTATTGTAAAAGAGAGCAGTCAAATTCCATAACATGTTTAAAAAGGGTTTTTCAGTAACTAAATAAAAAACTTAATTAACAATTATAAAAGATCATGTAAATGCCCATGTAATACTTGTTCTTAAAAACAACAAAATAATGCAGCTTTTTATTTCAATAGTCTACATTTAAAATGCAAACTTGGATGAAGATTTCAAACTTACAACAAAAATTCTTCTCTGACAGTTCTTCCCATAGAGCCTTTCTCTTAGCTAAGCTAATTTCTATTGGACTCATCAGGTGCAGTTTGGGGTTACAGAGAAAGTGGCAAGAGGTAATGAACAAAGAGTTGAAGGCATGCAGTGAACTCATGGAGGAAGCAGGAAAAATGTCTTCAGCCTCTGGACCAGTGTTTTGTTTTGGATGGCTTGCATGGACACAGTTTGCAGATAGTTTGAACAGTCTGTGCATTGCCCTGCAACTGAACAGAGATATAATCCACACTTCAAGCAGGTTGAACATCAGTGCTGGTTTAGCCTCAGAAGCAACACATCAGATAAAACTTGTTTCTCCTTAAGCAGTATAGTTATCAGTTTTCTAATAGAAAATATACATCTATTCCCCCTTAACTGAGCTGGTTTGAACTTGAAACTTAATGCTAAGCCATGTGTAAGTGCTAGATTCCTGGGCTAAATAAAGCCCCTCTTCTTGTCCCATGTAGAACAATTTTCCTCATGTTTAGTTTCAGTTTCAGAGACTTTTTGGCTTCTTGTCATGTAAGAATTAGTGAAGATGGTTTAAAACAATCCAGCCAAACAGCCATAATTGAAAGTTGACAAATTTAGAAAGAAACAGAACATTTTAGAAAATGCAGTGTCTAGTTCCTGTATAACAATAAGCCAGGAATCTTTGAAAATTAAACTAATTGCAGGTGAAGTTTTCTAGCTGCAGGGAATGAGGAGAGAATGTGAGCCTGAGGTTTTGCTCAGGCTTATTATTGGTCTTGCAGATAATGCTAGCTTGGGCAAACATTATGAAGGGGACCACATTCCCTCTAGGATAGCCTGTTGAGGGCTAGTA